TTATTTAGTTATTAATTTATTTGTTTTTTTGTCTATTTATATACATTTATATATATATATATACACATATGTATATTATATATATATATATATATTTATATTTATATTTATATATATTTGTATATATTTATAAATATTTATATATATTTATATATATTTATATATATTTATATATATATATATATTTATATTTATATTTATATTTATATATTTATATATTTATATATTTATATATTTATATATTTATATATTTATATATTTATATATTTATATATTTATGTATTTATATATATATATATATCTTGGCAAAGATCTCTGGTAGCAAAAGCGGTTATTAGGACCCAAATCGTATGGCACATGATGACGTTTACCACGCAGTGGCCGCACTCTTTAATTTCGCGTCAGACGGGCAGTACCACTGCACCAGTTAATGCACCCTAGCATGCCCATGTGTGTTTTTATGCACTGTCGCTTTACGCATTTGCCGAAGTCATCGATCACTTTTGCGGTCCCGAAGCCTTGACGTAGTTTTCAGTGGTAATGTTGCGCATGTGTGCTCGTTGCCTGCAAAAGTCAGCGAAGAACATTTTCATCCAATACCTGCTACGGAAGCATTACCTAGGACCTTCCTTGCGTCTCCTGCTGCACCCCACTTCGCCGTCACAGCCCCGAAGCAGCACAGGACACCCTGGCCCAGGTCGTTCATGAGGGGTGTGCTGTGCTGTCGCGGCGTATGCTTGTCACAAAGCCGCATACCTCGGCAATCCTCGGCACCGGTGCTGCATGCTCCGCTCCAGACATCCCAAGACCATTGGCTGGCTGGGACTGGCCGCTTCCTCAAACAGCTGGCCGGTGCAGTGCCAGCTCGCAGCGGCGAAGATCGTGAGCCCCTGCACGATGCCGGTTGTTGTTACTCCTCCGTGCAGTCATGACAAGTCAAGTTTTTTGTTTTTTCTTTGAATCTTGTGGTGTAGTGCAAGGTTTTGGCTGCTAAGCTGCGGCATGCCACGGCTGCTACTTGCAAATAGATCCGCGAAAGAAAGAAAGAAAGAGAGCGCGAGAGAGAGAGAGAGAGAGAGGGGCACGGGTCAGGGGGACTGCCTCTGACGACAACCCCTAGCAAAGCAAAGAGAGCGAGAGAGAGAGAGAGAGAGAGAGAGAGAGCGAGAGACCCCTAGCCCTGACGAAGGAAAGAGAGAGAGCCCATATCTTTTACCGACCTGCAATTCCCCTACAAAGCCCCCAAGAGGGGGGTGCACCATGCGGTGCGGGGAGCCTGGACAGCTCCCTAGGCCCCGGAGAAGAAGAAGAAGAAGAATAAGAAGAAGAAGAAGAAGAGAGAGAGAATACATGAAGGATGTATTCTTCGCATTTCGTGTTTGCAAATGGCAAAGATGGCATCCTAGTGCATGTTTCTGCTGAGAGCATACGCTGTTCGTGTCTTCATTATCGTATTTTTTATGGCTTTAGCGTTGGGCATGCCCCGGGGAGAGAGAGAGAGAGAGAGAGAGCTGACAGTGAACGCGTAGGGTAGGGGGATCCCGGCTGAGGTAGGGGGATTTCTTCAGGTGCGCTTGCTGTTGGAAGGATTGCTGTTCTGTGGTTTGCTTGACTGCTTCAGGGGGATCCCCTTCCTGTAGCTGAGACCAACGGTAACGACCCTCCCTGACAGTCATGTTCTTCGCTCATGTTATATTCGTTGGGCCTCGGCCTTAGTTGTTTTATCCGCTTCACGTGAGGGGGATTGCACCTAGAAAAACCAGCACCACGGACTACATTTGTCAATGTGCACGACGAACTGTCGCCTTGGAACTTGCTGCGATCACTCTCTCTCCTACATGTTCTAGGAGCTTAGGTCCTTTTAGATGATTGCTGTTGCGAGGCTGACGTAGGGGAGAGACTTCCTTTTCGTCACGAGGTCAGGATACCTGCTAACTTACTGCTTCATGTCCTATCCTGAGGTTTTTGTTAGTTTGCTGTTTGCTTCGCTGTTCTGCAGTTCTGAACCTACAGAGTGACTTAAAGGGGGACAACGCATGTGTACCTGCCCTGCTGGCAAAGATACAGGGGAACCCATCACTTGAGCTAAGTCCAGCTTGTGGCCCCCTGACTGTGCATCCGTATCTCTCCCCCTCTTTTCTCCGATGATGGGGGAACCATATCTTT